TGTTGTCGTGAATGACGTCACGTTACTTATAAAATTTTGTATAGTTTTGTGTTTATAAAATTTACTAAACTTGAAAAATGTATATTATATTCACTTTATTACTGTGACAATGATATAAAGCGAAATAGACGTGCTATATCATTACTGAGACAGGTAGCATATAGCACTTGCCTAGATGGAATGAAAAGCGCTTAAGCTTGTGAATAACCTATAGGTATTTAATTTTTCACGTGTAACAAGTCGGGTTTTCTTATTTCTGTACAGCAGTTTCTAAATTCTAATAAGCACTTTTCATTAGCCATCATCCAAAATTGACAAACTTTATTGGTATATTATTACCACGTTCAAAAACAGAATGAATTGCTGTAATTTTAAATTAAGCACGGCTGAATTTCTTACTATCTGCAGGGTAGAGATCTGAACTTGCGACATTAAACTTACGCTACTGCTTGCTAAAAGAAGATCTTTTAGAATGAAACTGCATAATAAATGTAGAATCTATTGTGTATATTTGTCATTCGAATGAATTCATACTATGCCAACTGGTGGTATATTGGATAAAACAACCCAACACTGGCAGTTGGTCTCGGGTTTGCACATTAAAGAGGTTGCAGCCGACGTTTTCAATGCAAAAACGTGTATGTCGGACGTTCAGCGCTGCTTTCCTAAAGGCCTAAAAGTTTGGCAATGGTGTTTGGGACGTCGAGAATGATTCCACTGACTATCCTAATGCCATTGTCAAACTTTTAGGCTTATAGGAAAGCAGCGCTGAACACTGAAATTATTATCTTTGTAAACTATTAGTACTTAAGTGTGTAAATTTTCTTTTTTCGCCCTCTGTTGATACACATGGTCCTTCTCGAAACTTGTTTCAATGTTGCCAGATCTCGACGCTTCTGCTTCTGTTGTTGCCAGATGTTTTTCTCTTATTCCATACTTGCTTTATTCTTCATAAGTGCTTAGCACAGTGTTTTTCAACCGGGGTGCCGCGGCACCTTAGGGTGCCACGGTGCCACGATTGGGGTGTCGCAAAGTTTAGAGCCTTTAGGCATTTTCTTGGAAATTTACTTAAGTGTAGTTCAAGATAACTCATTGTCAGTTCTATTTTGCTACGAGATATCTAGTAAGCAAAGAAACTATGACTAATTGCANCTAAATAATTTAATTTAATTAATTTATTTATAATTATTAATGTTAATAAGAGATGGCGCCTAACGCTTACCTCTAGGACCAAATTGGTTACGTAATTCGTTTAGCCTTAAGACTAGCCCGATAGATTTTCGGCATTCTGGTGGTGTTTAGTTGTCAGCAAGTTTATTGCATACAATGTTTATTGGAGGGAGCCGACTTGAACCTAGTCATTAAAAAACGACTAGCAGAGATGGCAAAATGTGTGGAATGCACAAGTCCACAATAAACTACACAAGATTAAACATTTGGTAAAAAATTAGAGAATGAGGTTTATGAAAGATCTGAAGTTATTCTTACCCATCTGAGGATTGGACATACTTGGCTGACTCATCAATATGTTTTCAAGAGTTATCAGCCAGTATGCCAGTATTGCAACTGTTCTCTAAGTGTAAAACACATACTATGCAAGTGCTCTGCCTTCAACAGGAGGCATAGAGAGTATTTTGGAAATCGATGTCTGAAGGACATTCAGATCCAGAGGTCAAATCTCAATATGTTATTGGACTTTATATAAGTGACTTTTAGAAACAGATTTGATTATTTATTTATTTTTTACTTTTATATACCTTGCTGTTTTATACACTTGTTATTGTTAATATTTTATATTACGTATATATTTTGAGTTGTAATTTTGTCATCTGATAAGGTGCATAGTTTCTTAGCACGGCATAGCCTGTATGGCTGTTGTGCGAAAAAAGTTTAACAAGCCAATCACTTTGGTTTCCAGAATTTAATTTGTGCAGAATGTAGCTATTTAGCAGTATTTTGGATATGGTGATGAATGTTATATCATTCCAATATCTTGAGGTTCTTCTTTTTACATCGAAATACGATACTTCTGATATGATGTAAACTCCCTCCATAAACCTATTATACAAACATAAAACTACTTATTGCCTCAATTTAGCCAGTCTGCATTTAACAATTTCGTCTTTGTTGTTGCATGGTTACATAAGAAGAACGGGGTTTTTTTCTTTTTCGAAGGAACACTCACGTATAGGATCAGAACTATAGTGTGAGGTCTGATCAAACATGTATTTTTAAAGAATTTACACATTTTTTTTATGTTTTTCCTTTTGTGATGTTACATTCGTGCGGTACTTGTATTTATTACATAAAATTATCTTTCTTGGAGTAAACCTTTTCGACAGACCTTCCAAGACTGGAGTTAATAACTTTGAACCGGTCGATTTCAACTTCGGCGCCAATATCATTCGAGTGGTGGTGCCCCTGGCGACCAGCAGAGACGAAGAAGTTTCGGGCCATCTGCCAGGTCTTTCGAGAAGACAAAAAAGGCCAGACGTTCTTGGCCATCGTGAAGAACACAGTGCAATTACTCGAGCAGGACAGACTGGTCAAAGTTCTCATCACTTCCGGACGCAAGTTTGAACCCGATAGACACGAGGGTGGACGAAACGTCGGCATCCTGGCCAGTGTTTTCCGATCATTTTTTCATTCTTGGTCAAAGAAAGGGAGATGCAATCCAAGGAGTTGGAACGGCAGTTGAGGAAAACGGAAGCAGAGGAAACGTGCGAGTCTACGTTTCCGACGTAGGTTTGCAGAGCTTCTTTGCCTTTCTGAAATCGTTTTCTCGACTGCCGGCGTGCGTGCTGAGTAACTTCTCATACAGTCGAACAACGTCGATGCATTTCCACAGTGCCTGTAAAAGACACAAGAGCGACCCGGTGCGTCGGCTCTTGGCTTTCGTGAAAAGGATTTTTTTTACATTTAGTGGAGCGCACTCTCTGACCTGTAGCATTAAATGCTACTGGCTTGAGGTACTCCTCTTTTAATTAACCCTGCTTCGCATATGCCTTGCAGGTAGTTATGATGAGGGGTGCCGCTAGCTGTTTGAACGCCCGTGTGCAATACCGATTATGCTGCCCCCTGTTTAACTACGACTACCTATGCTGAGCTTGCCAGAAAGGCTCTTTGCCGCCCTGCTGGACATGCCGCCTGCGTGCGGTGCACGCCTTGCACGCGTGCTTACGGCGGGCCTGGTTATGATTACATAGTTGCGGTCGTAGTTGCAATACATTAATGCCCGACAAATCTATTTTTATTTACATGAATTATATTGTTTTGTTGAGTAAAGTATTTTTGATACCTTTAGTAAGACAGTCATCTACGAGAGAAATTATTGTTCTGTTTTTATAACAAGTTTTTATAAATTCATTGAAAAAATAATATACATTAACGTTATTTATAATGCTACTTATCCTGATAGGCCAATTGTAACCACTTTTATTACAAACTTTTTTTAATTCATTTCTTACTTATTCATATTGCATACAGTCAAATACGATGTGTGTGTGGGGGTTTATCTTTAATTCACATTTTAATCCGCTGTAACAGTCATTTCATAAATAGAATAGAAGTGTTTATGATTTAATTGATAATATTTATGTCATTAACTTTATTTAAAAGTTGTTATAATTTTTAAACCAAAGGAAAAAAAAAGTTTGCCGAAGGTAGGTCGAACCTAGATCGCACTGCATTGCAAGCGAGTACGCTACGGACTCAGCCACTTCACTGTACTGTCATTACGTAGAATCGATCGGTATATAAGTTGCGCTTAAAATTTTAGAGCCTTTTTTCTCGAAATCTTCTGGCTAGTGCGCTTTACAATTCTTCTGAGTGGACACCCTTGAGGTATACTACTAACCTGCCAAGTCTCATCCCGAACTGAATTTCCGAGACCGTAAGGTCCCCTTGTAAGTTGGAAGTATTTGAACACATCTGCCGAGTTTCGTAGCAATTGGTGGAATTGCCTATGAGTGTATAGAGAACAAACAAAACAAACATCTTCATTTATAAATACCGGTATATAGATATTTCATGCAGGCAGGGTCGAGTCTCTACAGGTTACAAAGTAGTGCAGTAAATAGAAACGACTCTACCTGCATGGAATATAACTAAATCAATCAAGATATTACGTTTCAATTGATTTTTTTTAAATTTTAATTAATTAATTTTGATTTTTATTTTCAGTTTCAGTGTAAAAATCAGTTTTAGTTGTTGCGTAATTATTTTTAGTTTCTATTAACTGGTTATATGGCAAAAATATTTTAATAAAAACTTTTGTCGTTGTTGTATAAATAATATAGGTCCAAAGAATTAAAATAAAGTGGTATGGAAAAAATATATTTAATTTTAGATCTGTCAGTCGTCTAACGATCTAACTTGTAAGATGTTTTTATTCGAATTTTTGTTGCAGGCGATGAGTGATTTTCGACACCATCTGGTAAAGTTTTGCGCTGAAACGTGTTTTAGTTTTCCCATAAATTAATTACGGCTAATTTAACCTTATTCCAAGCGGAATATTATGCCAATACAAAGGTATTATTGGAGATTATTGTTAGATAAAATTGCAGTGTTTAAATCTTTCCATAATATCTTTAAATAGTTCTGACATTTTAATTGAAAACACAAGTTTTTTTAATACTTGTCAGAAGATAGTGGAGTTTAATTTTCCATTTTATTTGTTACTTTAAACAGAATTTTTCTTTACGATAATTAAGCTTGCTCGCTCTAAATTCTTTATTAATTAGTAATTTACAAAGAAAAAATTTGGAATTTTTACAAAATCGGAGCACCCACCAGTTGTCCAACGGACAAAACCACCAAGCAGCGGTGGTTGGTCGCATGTTTGCGTCTGGATATGGGAGTTTTCAAGGTTTTCTTCACATTAGCAACATTTAAATAGGGGCTATTTTCCCATAAAATGTCCTCCCAGCAGATCGCCCACGAATCGCGTTGCCGCGAAGTTTGGCGCAAGTTTGACTTATTTATTTTTGTTTCAGATATCTACCGATGAAGGCACGGCACAAAAGATTCAAAAGACACGAAATGGTGGAAGAAAATGGGGAGCAAGAAGACGATTACTGTGGGGTGGAGGACATGTTGGAGGACGACGAATTGCTTGGAGTAGCAAAGGGAAATCGTCCTACTCCCTGCATAGAAGAAGAATATGAAAGATTACCTCGAAATAAAGTGGAGCGAAAAGAACGGCGCTGATTGCTACCAATTAAGGGGCAGGAGGGTCTTGTCCTTCAACACGAGGAAGTGAAAGACGACAGAAGAACCACACGACCTGCAGCCCGAGTCCTTGGCTGAAACCTTGGCCCAACGATTGAAGCTGAAGCATGAAACGAAAGCCAAGATCGGCACCTACTGCAGCTGGATCGTGGAAAGTCCCGAAAACAATATGGACCGCCTGAAGGAACTCACTCTCCTCTTAAGAGAAAGATCCCACGGCAAATCTGGTGATTGCCAGGTTGACTGCACTGTCGTTTCTGGAGGTGTATGGCGACATTTTGCCTTCTTATCAGATACACGTATTTAGCGAAGGAGAGAAGTCTCAGAAAATGAAAAAGGAGACCAGAAAGCTCAACAGATTTGAGGAAAGTCTGTTGAGATATTACAAACAATACCTGCAGTTCCTGGAGAAGACTGTGAAGGTGGCTTTCGGACAGAAGTCCGTGGCCGGCCGCGACATCTACACGGAGAGGAGGAAATTGGGTCTGGAGGCCATCGAATGTCTGTGTCGACTTCTGGTTACCCACGCCAATTTCAACTTCGGCGCCGACATTGTTCGGGTGGTGGTGCCCCTGGCGGCCAGCAGAGACGACGAAGTTTCGGAAAAGTGCTGTGGGGCCATCTGCCAGGTCTTTCGAGTAGACAAAAAAGGCGAGACATCTTTGGCCATCGTGAGAAACATGATGCAATTACTCAAGAGCAGGAGAAACTTGGGTCCAGAAGTGCTGAGAACTTTGACCAGTCTGAACCTGACAGCATGACGGTGGACGAAATGTCGACCAAGAATGCCAAAAAGATGAGGGAGAAACTGGCCAGGATGTCAAGGAGATGAAAGGAAGAGGGAGAAACTGGCCAGGATGTCGAGGAGATGAAAGGAAGAGGGAGAAGCAATCCAAGGAGTTGGAACAGCAGTTGAGGAAGACAGAAGCGGAGGAAAACAAATCGGAAAGAGCCAGGATCAATAGCAAAATTCTGAAACGCATCTTCCTGATTTATTTCAGGGTGTTGAAGGATTCGACGGGTTCTAAGTTATTGACTCCTGTATTGGAAGATGTGTCAAAATTCGCCCATTTGACCAACGTGGAGTTTTTCGACGATCTGATGAACGAACTGCACGCCCTCTTGTACCGAGTCCAATTGAGTGACGTTCTGCACTGTCTGTAATCAATAGCAAAATTCTGAAACGCATCTTCCTGATTTATTTCAGGGTGTTGAAGGATTCGACGGGTTCTAAGTTATTGACTCCTGTATTGGAAGATGTGTCAAAATTCGCCCATTTGACCAATGTGGAGTTTTTCGACGATCTGATGAACGAACTGCACGCCCTCTTGGATCGAGTCCAATTGAGCGACGTTCTGCACTGTCTGTACACGGTATTTGTCGTCCTGTCCGGACAGGGTTCGGTCCTCAACGTAGACCCGCAGAGCTTCTTTGTTCGACTGTACGAGATGTTACTCAGGATGCACGCTGGCAGTCGCGAGGAAGATTTGGGGGCGATTTGGAAATGCATCGACGTCGCCGTTCTGAAAAGACACAAGAGCGACCCGGTGCGTTGGATCTTGGCTTTCGTGAAAAGGATGTGCGCCCTGGGTCTTCACTGGGTCTGAACCCGATAGACACGAGGATGGAAGAAATGTCGACCAAGAATGCTAAAAAGATGAGGGAAAAACTGGCCAGGATGTCGAGGAGATGAAAGGAAGAGGGAGAAACTGGCCAGGATGTCGAGGAGATGAAAGGAAGAGGGAGAAACTGGCCAGGATGTCGAGGAGATGAAAGGAAGAGGGAGAAACTGGCCAGGATGTCGAGGAGATGAAAGGAAGAGGGAGAAACTGGCCAGGATGTCGAGGAGATGAAAGGAAGAGGGAGAAACTGGCCAGGATGTCGAGGAGATGAAAGGAAGAGGGAGAAACTGGCCAGGATGTCGAGGAGATGAAAGGAAGAGGGAGAAACTGGCCAGGATGTCGAGGAGATGAAAGGAAGAGGGAGAAACTGGCCAGGATGTCGAGGAGATGAAAGGAAGAGGGAGAAACTGGCCAGGATGTCGAGGAGATGAAAGGAAGAGGGAGAAACTGGCCAGGATGTCGAGGAGATGAAAGGAAGAGGGAGAAACTGGCCAGGATGTCGAGGAGATGAAAGGAAGAGGGAGAAACTGGCCAGGATGTCGAGGAGATGAAAGGAAGAGGGAGAAACTGGCCAGGATGTCGAGGAGATGAAAGGAAGAGGGAGAAACTGGCCAGGATGTCGAGGAGATGAAAGGAAGAGGGAGAAACTGGCCAGGATGTCGAGGAGATGAAAGGAAGAGGGAGAAACTGGCCAGGATGTCGAGGAGATGAAAGGAAGAGGGAGAAACTGGCCAGGATGTCGAGGAGATGAAAGGAAGAGGGAGAAACTGGCCAGGATGTCGAGGAGATGAAAGGAAGAGGGAGAAACTGGCCAGGATGTCGAGGAGATGAAAGGAAGAGGGAGAAACTGGCCAGGATGTCGAGGAGATGAAAGGAAGAGGGAGAAACTGGCCAGGATGTCGAGGAGATGAAAGGAAGAGGGAGAAACTGGCCAGGATGTCGAGGAGATGAAAGGAAGAGGGAGAAACTGGCCAGGATGTCGAGGAGATGAAAGGAAGAGGGAGAAACTGGCCAGGATGTCGAGGAGATGAAAGGAAGAGGGAGAAACTGGCCAGGATGTCGAGGAGATGAAAGGAAGAGGGAGAAACTGGCCAGGATGTCGAGGAGATGAAAGGAAGAGGGAGAAACTGGCCAGGATGTCGAGGAGATGAAAGGAAGAGGGAGAAACTGGCCAGGATGTCGAGGAGATGAAAGGAAGAGGGAGAAACTGGCCAGGATGTCGAGGAGATGAAAGGAAGAGGGAGAAACTGGCCAGGATGTCGAGGAGATGAAAGGAAGAGGGAGAAACTGGCCAGGATGTCGAGGAGATGAAAGGAAGAGGGAGAAACTGGCCAGGATGTCGAGGAGATGAAAGGAAGAGGGAGAAACTGGCCAGGATGTCGAGGAGATGAAAGGAAGAGGGAGAAACTGGCCAGGATGTCGAGGAGATGAAAGGAAGAGGGAGAAACTGGCCAGGATGTCGAGGAGATGAAAGGAAGAGGGAGAAACTGGCCAGGATGTCGAGGAGATGAAAGGAAGAGGGAGAAACTGGCCAGGATGTCGAGGAGATGAAAGGAAGAGGGAGAAACTGGCCAGGATGTCGAGGAGATGAAAGGAAGAGGGAGAAACTGGCCAGGATGTCGAGGAGATGAAAGGAAGAGGGAGAAACTGGCCAGGATGTCGAGGAGATGAAAGGAAGAGGGAGAAACTGGCCAGGATGTCGAGGAGATGAAAGGAAGAGGGAGAAACTGGCCAGGATGTCGAGGAGATGAAAGGAAGAGGGAGAAACTGGCCAGGATGTCGAGGAGATGAAAGGAAGAGGGAGAAACTGGCCAGGATGTCGAGGAGATGAAAGGAAGAGGGAGAAACTGGCCAGGATGTCGAGGAGATGAAAGGAAGAGGGAGAAACTGGCCAGGATGTCGAGGAGATGAAAGGAAGAGGGAGAAACTGGCCAGGATGTCGAGGAGATGAAAGGAAGAGGGAGAAACTGGCCAGGATGTCGAGGAGATGAAAGGAAGAGGGAGAAACTGGCCAGGATGTCGAGGAGATGAAAGGAAGAGGGAGAAACTGGCCAGGATGTCGAGGAGATGAAAGGAAGAGGGAGAAACTGGCCAGGATGTCGAGGAGATGAAAGGAAGAGGGAGAAACTGGCCAGGATGTCGAGGAGATGAAAGGAAGAGGGAGAAACTGGCCAGGATGTCGAGGAGATGAAAGGAAGAGGGAGAAACTGGCCAGGATGTCGAGGAGATGAAAGGAAGAGGGAGAAACTGGCCAGGATGTCGAGGAGATGAAAGGAAGAGGGAGAAACTGGCCAGGATGTCGAGGAGATGAAAGGAAGAGGGAGAAACTGGCCAGGATGTCGAGGAGATGAAAGGAAGAGGGAGAAACTGGCCAGGATGTCGAGGAGATGAAAGGANTGATATTATTGACGACAAAAGTTTAAAATCATTGATTTCCTTACCTGTCCATTATTTTTGTTTGACGGAGTTGAATTGTTTGGACCACGTGGCATGAAAAATTTTGTCAAGGTCCTGATGAGAATGTGCAGACAACTGAACGTGTGAAAGACCACTGAGTCAAGACCGTTTACACGTGCAACTATCTATATTGTGATTCGATAATTTAAATTAGCAAGCAGTTATACTAGTGAGACTTTATTAAACTTACTTTTTCTCATTTTTTCGTTAAAGGCGTGAAATATTATTTTGTACCGTAAATGGTACTTGAAATATTATAATGTACTGAAAATGTACTAAAAATCTAACTGTACTTTCCATTTACTGGAAAGGGCAAAATGTACTAGAAAAGTACAAATGTACTAGGAACGGCAACACTGATGCCCACTTGTCATTAGTAAAAACTCATCGGCTTTCGATCAGATTCTCGAAAAAATTTGGCAGAACACGGCGTTCGAACGGAGTGCTCTGCCAAATTTCGGCAGAGTCGGGAAATGGCAAACACGTTCCGTCTCTGCCGACAGTGATTCGATGAATGAATTGGATTCCCGTCAAAAGTTCACAGCCAAAATTCATTTTTGATCGTTTCCGACAAGACCAGTTACGTTAGTTCTGGAGGAATTTTTCGAAGATGCCTTCGACTCTGAAATCTCTTCGAAATTCAAAGAGAAAGGAACTAATCGGGAGATTCGCTTCTAAACGACGACGTTATCGCTACATAGTCCTGTAGCGCCGTCCGATGCAGGTGACGATTAAGTCACTTCCGGCCAGAAACGTCACCGTCGAGTGTCGCCATCTTCCGGAGACCGGGCGGACTAACGCGAAAATCCGGAGCATCCAGTTAATCCGTTTCCGTCCGGATAAATCGACATTTTGTTTCCGCCAGATTGCGTTAATCGATCATGATTGATCTAAAATAATGCGCGAAATGTTGGATAAGTCTGGAAGAAGAATTCGAAGAGAGAGAAGCCCACCTTAGAACAGGGAATAATTTAATCAAAACACCAAATGCTCGTTAATATAAAATCGAAACAATTGTTTCAAAGTGCGTCATTAATTATTGATAATTATAACACGGTTCCCGCATAAAATAAGTTCCCTAACTATGCTATTGTTTTCGAATTTTTA